GCCGCAGTAATCTTTTTTTGTATTTTTTTTTTTAAAGTCAGGATCACCATGACCCCGACGAAAGAGAAAGAAAAAATAAGGAAGCTCTTACCTCTTTCCACGTCTCGTCGCACCGGGCTCTTTCGGATCCAAACGCGGTTAAAATTCCTCGGTCCTGGCAACGCAGCGAGGTTCGGCAGGACTCATCCACGTCGGCCGGCGTCGGTCTCGAGTCGCGATGGAGTGCTAAAATCTTCTCCTTAAATGAGACGCGCCGAGTCGTCTCGATTCGGTTTTCTTCGCCCTTCCGAGAAAAAACCCCAAAGGAATGCCTCACCCGCGTGAGGCATTCCTTTGGGGAGGCTCACATCGTTCGTACCCAAAGAAATAGCGCGAATACCGGGAGGTTTTTCTCGCTTTCCCTGCCGTCGCGTCTCCGATCGCCCTTAAAACGGAATCGCAAAACCGACGCGGGACGGACGAACGAAGGAAATCCGGCAAGATTCGGAGTGGAAAACGATCCTCCTGGGCTCACGGTGCGGACAAGAAGAAATTTCCCCCCTCTGCGAACGAGGATCGTCGTTTCGTCCTTTGAGGAACCGCCGAATCCGTCCGCACCGGAAAGGGCGGGTACGAGGTGGATCGCGGTATGAATCCCTATGATTTACGGGGGCGTCCGACGGATGCCGATTCCTGGCAAATCCATTCGGAACGGTGAGCGCCGCAACGACCCACACGAGTCGTTCACCTCTCGTATTCCGGGAATCCACGAGGGTCAGTTTCTCGACCGATCGCCGACGCACGGTACGACATTCCAGCGCGTTCGAGGGAAATCTTGCAAAAAAATCTTCTGCGTCGTCATCGTCGGCCGGTCCGTCCCGTTTCCGTTCTTTCGGTCGTTGGCTCCGGCGAGGGACGATGACGATGACGACCCTCCCCTCTTCGACGATCCCTATCTTCTTCGTCGTTGCCCCGCGTACGAAAGACCATCTGAAAGGGGATCCTTGTTTTTAAAGGAAATCAAGGAGGATGCAGACGTCCGGAGCGATGATGATGTTGGTCGTTCTCGCGGGGACTCTCCTGGTCCACGCCAAAAATCACAACCCGAACGCGATCCTCGAACCGGACGAAAGACAGGTCCGTTCCTCGTTCCTCCCCTCTTTTCGCTTTCGTCTCCGTCTCTCCCTCGTTTCGAAACGCGTGTCGAATGCCGTTCACGCAGGCGATCGGGGAACTGGCGTCGAGGATCCTGGAAGTGCTGGACTTCGGAGCCGCTCTCCAACCCTCTTCTGGCGGAATGCTCGCATCTCTGAAGCGGGACGGCCCCGGCAAGAGGAACGCCGAACTCATCAATTCTCTCCTGGGTCTACCGAAGCTGATGAACGACGCCGGACGGAGATAGGACTCTCGCATCCCCTCGACGACTTCCTTCCTTCTCCGAAGAAAATCATTCCTTCGCATTCCATTCGATTCCCTCTTAGATCTATTCCCCTCCCCTTAGATGCATGCACGTGAAATCCCGTACGCTCTAGGTCCCTCCGACGAAATCCGTATCGATCCAACGCCGACATCCGTATTTGGAGTAAAAGAAAGCAAGGAAAAAAACACGACGTCGCCCGCTCTTTCGGACGACGCCCGAGATTCACCTCCTGCATTCCACTTCATCCGTAAGGATACGATTCTCGATTAGTGCCCTTAACGATCCATTCCGGTCGTCCCTCGACGAGAGGGAACTTCTCAAGAACATCCTTCGAAATAAAGCCTCATTTTCGATAGCGTATTTTTTGTCTACCCGCATGAATTTTCGAAACACGAGGGAGCACGAGGAAAGCGATGGCCCGAAATCCACCGTCGACGTCGGGTCGCCGATTCCCCGGGGAGGACCGCACGAGTTCCTCGAACGGGATCGATTTTCGTTTCCGGACCCTGCGAAAGGCCATTCGATCCGAAGGTACGAGGAACTTGCACATAATCCCAGATGAGTCCCCCCGATGGGAGTCTCTCCATGAAGACTGCAGCCACGGCCTAGAGAATGGAGAACTACGACCCTCTCGGTAGAGAAGTTGCTAAGTGTAAAGGACCGTAAACTCTCTCGGGATGTTCTCTCTTTCGCCATCACGAGTAGGAACCCGGGAGACACGAATGTACTTTAAAACGTCCACGTGACGTCACGATCCCACTTTTCCTCACCCGTCCGAATCGAAACCTCCTGTTCAGGCATTTATTTTTTCGTCCACTCCGAAGGCCTTCGACAGGAAACGAAGATGGTCATGGAGGTGAAAATAGCGATATTTTTCTCCGGAGAAACACAGGAAGCCGGCGTAGGGACGATCACGGATCGCAAGTTTCCGCTGGTGCTTGGGCCTGTCCGGGACGACATCCCCAAACCTGTCGAAATTGAGAGAAATTCCTGAGGGCGAGTTGGATCCTGACGGCAGAGGGAACGTGTTGGCTCGCCACCGTCTCTAAGAACGTCTCCCGTCTGGCCACCTCTTCGCACCACATCTACAGCGTCCACAAACATCACGGATGATTCTCAATTCTGGAGGGGAAACACTCATTCCATGCAAATCTTACATTGCATGAATTCACTATATACATTTAACTTACAGCGGGAACTCGTTGACTCAAATCCTGATAAATCGAAATTCCGCTAATCTCGAAGTTCGATGCTCGGTTCCGGTGGAATCCCGTAGGACACCATCTTAAATATTCCGTTTAACTCGAATTCGTTTTTCTCGAATTTCCGGATATCTCGAACCACATTTTCATTCCCGATTGCGATTTTCTCACGATTAACACGAAGTTAACTCGAATTCGGGGTGTGAAGGAGAAATAAAATTCTTTTTGTACTTTTAGATTTTTTTGAATAGAGAATAGAGAGTGATGCCTCGGCGACCGAGCCAGTCACTGAGGCATCATTGCCGAGATCGCTCACACGAGAGTGAGCCGGGGGACGAGAGCGATGAAGAGCAGGAGGCGATAGGATAATCCACCATCTTTGAGCGATGACGATCAAGCAGTGTTGGTTGCGAAAATTTTATTCCTCACGAGGGGAAGTGAGAACTGACTCGTTCGAGACTATTAGCAAATTGGAAGACCTTCTACTTCTCTATTGCTAATTCCTTTAGAAATGAAACGAAGATGACCGATTTCATGTCAGCTAAGGATAAAATCGGAAGAGTACCGGATGAAGGGCGTTGTGATAAAATGAACTTTGCATATAGAGTATCAAAGTTTCCGGACAGATGAATGAATGAATGAAAGCCAATGGCAACGAAAAGGTCACGCTTCTTGCAATCTGATTTATGAGGACAGAAAAATCGCCCTTTGGTTACCTCGTATGTCCCATAGCCGCTTCTGTGATTTGCCCGTATCTGATGCGGGCGACGTTGTAAAACTGACTTGTCCGCATGAGACACGGGTGACTCGTGTTTCGCTCTTGATTTGCCCGAATAAATGAATAAAATATGTTATACATACATAATTTGTTCAGTCTATGAAATCAAAACCTACAATTAAAAAATTGATATATTTGCTCCAATTCAGTGCAAAAAAAAACTGGTAAGTGGTTAACCTGAAATATTTCTCAAGGTAGAGGTGATTTCTGATGAGTCGAACTTCGAATAACTCAAAACGATTTTCTCGGTCCCTTAGAGTTCGAGTTAACGAATTTCCGCAGTATTTTCGGGAAGTTAGGCATTCATAAGCACTTCTACAGAACTCAATTTTAAGACTCTGCCCGAATGACAGAAGTTCGTGCTCGTCGCCTCAAAGCATTGCCGGCAACAAAAATGGTCAATGGAGGTTATTTCTCCAAGAAAACTGGTATGCTGCTTTGACTCCGCATCGTGCGATATAGGGTGAAGAAAAAAAGGAATGGTCAGATCGCACATTCTTTGGCCTGATCTTTAAAAGGCAGGACTCTTTCAAAACGTACGATTAAATATGCTGAATCCATATCTGAGAAAGCTTGTAAGGGGTGGGAGGGGAAGGGCGGGGGGGAGGGGGAGCTTGTGCGTTTGGAGTCATAATTCCACGATCACATATGGACTACGTCATCGTTAAAGACTTACTCGAGCCACATATGGCCTATTGTGACAGCATTTCTCTAATATCTCAGGGAATCGTAGAGATCCTGTAATGGGAAAGAGGCAGGGTAATGAAACGTACATGTCCACACGAACTGCATGCATACCAAATGTCCCCAGAGTTATAGCCAAAGTTATAAAACCAGAAATGAGGGTTACATATTCATGCGAAGTTTAATCGTCCTCGTTTCGGTACGGTACGCGTCCCACGCAAAATGTTTGGGATCAGATACCTCCTTGAACATGAGACTCACTCATATGTAAAGAAATAGCTTACAGACGTAATAATGACTTTTCGATTCCTTCGGTACCGAATTTTATTCCGGCACAACAAGCGTTTCAATCTTCTGCACCATAAAGCTTGCACCTGTATTTGCACCACATGCATGAATCATCTCGCTATCGGCAACATCCTTCATAAAATTTCAAATATATCCTTGCTTCTTTGGGATTCCCAAGGAAAACGGACAGAACGAGGCACCAATGAAGAGCACATTAACAATATGGGAATATCACACGCCAATATAGGCCAATTACACAGTCATGGCAAGCCACAAAGCTGCCCTTCGAAAGGTCTATCACGCATTACGTTTTTCTAGGTAAATTTGGTTTTAGAACAGACCTCCGGCTTACACACGAATGAATTCAGAATCCAGTTTATTTTATTATCTAACCTTGGATGCAGGCTTGCCCGTGTAATTTTATATCCACGAGCCTTTTTGGTCGGCTGGTTTAACACTCGAGAATTGCGAACGTGCCAACTGCGCCAACCCGGGCCAACCCGGGTTAGTCTCTGCATCGCGGCATCACTCTCAACTAAAGGTGCATAGCAGTGTCGACACGTTTAGACGTGTGAAACGTTCCGCGACTCGACGAGAGGAAGAGACGGTTGGGAAAAGGAGAAAGCATGGTCATGCATCTAGTCCTACAGCTGTCGGTTTGATGGCGAGCACGGTTCATGCGTGTGAGTGTGGTTACGCCTCGGAAGTGGTCGAGCCATCCCGAGGTGGACGAACCCCGCCGTCACCAAAGCGTGCAGGTATCCTCGGGGTTGGGGGCCATGGGGGAATCGGAGCAATGCCAGGTTTCCCGAAACGCCTGTAAGTTGGACAGGGACCCGATGACCCGATACCGAAAGGGACTGTGGACGTTCACCCGCAACCCCAACGCCATGCTCTCTTTCCGCGCGTGGGCGCAGTTCCCCTAAGGACATTCAAACATTCCCATGCATCACATCGTCTACGCTATTTGGACGAAATCGAACGCCCACTCGCGCAAAGAACGTTTCTGCAACACATGGGCCTATACATCGCTCGACGAGATGGGATCGGACGCCGTTTGGCTCGAACAACACATACCTCTCTGCATGTGTTGCCTGCAGGCGACATGCCGCACGATTTCGGTGTATCGACAGGTTGCTCGATTCCAGTTTCCATCGTTTGATTTTGTCCAAAGTGTATTTCGGGAATCATAATAGCTTTTGGGAAACTTCCTATCACTCTTGCATTCGATTAGTGAAAACGATCGTGCGACGATCAGATTGCATTTACAAGACTGTTGGAGAGAAAAGAACCCTTATGTATACGAAGTGGACAAAAGTGAACGGTCACCATCCCAGAAATGGAGATGTGGCAACCCGTACGCCTTCTGGAACCACCGTGTATGCTGCCTGCAGGTATAGGGTGACATGCACCAGATTCCTTTAACTTTAAACCGATTCCCATAGGGGACCATTGTGAGATCAGATTAGTTCAGCTTAAACGGATTCGGTGCATGTCACCCATAGACGTGTGGAAGGGTACCGGTTGTTTTCCAAGCCTAAGGGAGTCCTATCCCTTCTTGATGGACAAAACTAGGGCCATGCGTGTTGCAAAAATGTTCTGTACGCGAGGGCAGGTAGGTTGACTTTCCTTCAGTATAATGGACACAGCATCTCCCATATATGGGCTACCCATCTGACATTCATATTTGAAACTCGGGGATCGAGTGCTAGATTTTCTTCACATCGTATGAGAGAAATACCTCTAGAGAAGAGAAAAAAAAAACCTTTTTCGCGGGGCGAAAAAGTGGTGCGCTCCGGAAAGTGGACTGCTTCGCGGGACCTAAATTCGCATTCACGCCGTTTCTTTCTTTCGATTTCTCTCGCTCACCTGTTTTTATCTGCGCCGCTGCAGAAAGAACACGATTTTTTTTTAAACGCCAATTCAACGGCATGGCATCACTTTAGTACTGTCAATGCGAACACGCTTAGCACGACCTACCGAGAAAACGAACTGCTTCAAGTGTCCCCGTCGGGACGAGTCATTTTTGCTCTACTTTTAACATGAATTCAGGGGGAACCGTTGATCCAATTTGCGTAATGCTTAGGTCGTGTTAAAAGCAAAGCAGCAAATAGTTCCAACGGGGACACTCGAAGCCGTTCGTTTTATCAGTAGTTCGTGCAAAGTGTGTTCGCATCTATTTGCGTTGGCGATTAATTTAAGACATCCCAACTCGCATTACTTTGGAGTCGCAAATTTCGCGAAAATAAAACCCACCTGAAAAATGGTTTTATAGTACTTTGAACTGGAGTCTCACCAGACTTAGACTTACTTTTAGACCAGCAAACTTACTTTACCATATTACCCGAAGCAAGGAACTTAAAAACAAATGTTAAAAAAAGTATTTACCAGTAACTACCAATATGTCGAATTTCGATTGGATTATAAATAGTATCAGAGTTTAGAAAACCGTCCACCCCTACATCCAACAGCGTGACTTCAGTGTTTCTCGTTTCGCGTAAACAGATGCAATGCAGGAAACAAAAGGAAAGGAAACGGTCTCGATGGGGGTGACATCGGGGGCAATAGGGTCACGTCCACGGAGTCGCACGATCGTGAGAGAATCTGCAAGGTAGACCGAAGAAGTTGGATGCTTGCACTCACGTTGGCGAAGGAGAGAAAGAAGAGCTGCTGTTGGGTGAATTCCGTCAAACCAGGAAGAGGCTTATCTTCTCCGTGCCTACGCACGTACAACTCATAGGCTCGAAACGCCTCCCGTATCCCTCCGTTGTCTGCGATGTTCTCTCCCATGGACAACCGGCCGTTGATCTGTACCCAACACACACGATATCCATGCATTCCTAGGTTCTCGTAGGAGTTTTTCGAGAATCTTATCAGACGTATTAGAATATTTTGAGGGAAGGATGAATGCAACTCGGTTCATTTCGATGCGTAGAGATTTCAGAGTCCTCTTATGGAACATGGTGGCAAGGTGTCGATGTATCTGCTCTTCCTAGTGGGATACAATTCTGCTTGGGAGCGAAAGGATTAAGGCAAGCGGGTGATAGCTAGATTCAGAGGCAGAATTCAGAATAGTATGCTTCGGTCATCCCGTAAAATCTTGTGCAATGTTTTCGAGACCGGCATCAGAGGAACACGCAGTTTAATGTCGTCATCTTCAAGGATGACTGAAGAAAGTCAAAACTGTCATAATTTAATAATGAATGAATGCGCCGGAAGTCGTGCCTGCTAACTAATGTAGTGTCGCTCAACAATAGTTAAGGGGGGAGGAGAGTAGACAACCAGGGAAGGAAACGTTAAGGAAATATCCACAAAAGGAGGTCACCGGACTGAGAAATGTGGATGAGGAGATTCTGTAGAGAAGGGACGAAATGTCCTGCCCCTAGTCCGAGTATGGCGTCCGGGAAGAGGACGGAGAGCCTCAAGGCCCAGCAAGGAGGAAAGGACACTTTTCTCGGCTGCCAGAGAGGGAATGAATGGAGAAGGGCGATCTGCCGAGTGCCAACGCGTGCTGCCGGGAAATGCCTCACAAATGCCGCTGGGAAGTGTCGTCACAAATGCTGATACAAATAACCCCGAGGATACTCCAGAATTAGCTCTGGAGATGACACGCGAGTATTTCACGGGAATACCCGAGAATGCAACAAAATGGAGAAGCCTCTACTATTTAAAGGGAGAAACCAGGCAAGGCTGGTCGGAGAAAGTAGTCATCCGGCCCAAGGTGAGGAGGGTCGGGTACATGCCCCATGAAGGAGGCGGAAGGAGTGAAAGAGGTCAGAGGGGTCAACAGAGGCCCCACGAGTACCTGACGCTATGATTGGTCTAAGTTCTCGAACCATTTCGGTGAGGATGTCTGAGAGAAGATTGCTTCAACGACTCCGGAATTCAAAGAAAACATTGAATGTCGTAAGCAGGGATGCCCATGGACGATACGTCCCTGATGGGTCACATGGAATGACCACCGCCGACCATTCCTTATATCTCGCCTCATTCCACGAACTAGACACGAAACCGTAGCACACGCCTGAGACAAATATTCACGCATAGATATGAGAGCAGAAGCACTCATTGATCCGACAAAGCTCCATCATGATATCCGGCAACTGTAGTATGATGGACCGGAGCCAATACGTAAAACCTATCATAAATAAAACTTAACTGACAGCGAATTTCACTCACCATGAAAAGATGCATCACCAGCAACCAAAATGTCAAGTATCTCGCTCTACAAGTAGACACCTTTTTGTGAAGATATCTCCACTAAGAACCTCACAAGTGTGGATGGAATGGGGGATAGTAGCAGAATGACATTCACATAAAATGAAAATAAAGTAATGTTTTCTCCGAATCTCCGAGGAGATGGAGCTTCGAGGTTGCCGGAATGATTCTTTGACTGGAGTGGGCTAAATTTAATTCCTCTAAATAATATTGGAGAGGAATACAAAAATGTGAATGGAAGGATGAAACGGGAAGGGAGTTGAAGAAAGGGAAGAAGAAAGGTGTGAAAGTGCCTATTCAAGCGTCCGAGCCTTCCTATGGGTTTTACGCCGGGTTTGCAAGGACAAAGAAACTAGCAACAAAAAAAAGCGTCACGTTTAGAGCCGATATCAAGTGGGAAGTGACAAATGTCCAACATCTCTTGAATGTATTTTCTGTAGTACGAGATTTAGATTATTCGTATTTTCTGTCAGAACAAAAAAGTCTCATCCAGGGAAAAAAAATTCAATCACATATGATCGACATTTGAAAAATGGAAAAATTAAAAAAAACCAGAGGCCGGAATCCCGTTTTTTTTTCTTTAGCGGCTATGAAACTTTGATGAAATGTAGATATAATGTTTTGGAGATGACGCAAATGACACTCTCGAAATGGATCCAGCGACAGACTTTCGGCCAGGAGTACTAGCTTCACCCTTGCCTAAGACTGGAGCAGCAACTCCCTCCTTTAGAGCGGAGGAAGCCGCGCATCTCCATATCTTCACCATTTACATCCTGCTGGCACTTCCCTGAATTGCAAATTCGGGGAAGTGCTAGCTAGCCGAGTCCATTTCTGCAAATAGTCTCAAAGCTTTTGCCATTTACCTCATCGTAAGTGAGTGGGCTTCGTGGTGCAAATGCTGAAGTCTCGTGGATCAGGGTTATGCCCTTCAGAAGTTCCCTCCCATTACCTTTTGAGTGTATCGACACTCTAGCTTTGTGTTTGGATTGGGGCTTTAGGTATAATAAAATCTCTACACTGACATATATTACTAACAAATAGAGTGTACAAGTAGGGTGCGCGAAATCGTCCCCAGATGCGGCAAGCAGCTCAACATGCACCAGTTACGTCTACCTACCAAGACATATAGCATGCATGTAATTCTATATCCTACACAGAAATAATAAGTCAAATAGAGAGCTCCATTATTTTGGGAAAAAAAAAACTTTAATCTACTCGTGAACAAAATGCAATAATGCAGGAAAATTAAAGCTCAAAACTCTGGTACAAAATAGAGTGGTCAAATCGCCTAGGATCACGTTCCCAAAAGCAAGGAAACAAGACTCCGATAGATGGGAAAGCACGACTTCAACTCCCGTCTCTGTGCATCCTCATCCACCATTCACTTCACACCGGACTCTCGCAGTCAAGAGAGGAAATTCGTCCTCATGCTATTCACATTGTAACCTTAGTTGAGAGCAGGCGTTCCACTCGTGAACACTTTCATGATTATCGACCCAAGAAGACTCTCAACTTGATTGTTTCCGCACAGCAAACAACAGCGTGTCCAAAAGTGGCAATCGGCAACTTCATTATTATTTAATTTGAATTGACCGTTTATTTTATGAGTGAAGATTGATTATAATGAATCTGCATAGTACATACGAGGCTTGTATGAAAAGTCATGCGTGTTCCGCAATAAAAATTTGCATATTGAATGCAAATTTTTATTGCGGAACACGCATGACTTTTCATACAAGCCTCGTATGTACCACCATCAAAGTGTAAATCTTCCACTTTGGAGCGACTAATTATTTGTTTATCTTATCCATGTTTAGGTTTACGCAAGCAAACTGACAAGATGCATCAGCACATTGATTACAGCCGAAGATTTCCAGAAATGATTATCGTTGATGACTTTTGCAGCAGATTGGTAAAAATGACTTTCTTGAGAAACCCCGTTCCTCTGACCGAGTTCATTTCCATTCGCGTGGAGGAGTACCCCGTGAAATTAAATTATGCTGAGAATGAAATCCTTACTGAGAAACCTCAGCGCTCCTCAAGAGATACGGTCTGGAGCACGATTTCTTGGATATCCGTTATTGGACCTTTCTTCTTCATTTTGTTTCCGTTCGAAGATTCATTTGTTTCACAGCTGAAACATCGAGGAATATGCCTGTTAAATTTAGATTTGGTATGGATACAGTGGCGTATTTTACAGGGGGCAGGGGGGAGGGGGGCAGCCCTGGGACAGAGCCTGGCGTCCCTTTGTAAGAAATACTTTTCTCACCTAATATCACTCGGGTGGGTTTGGTGCCCCCTCTCTGTTGCCTTATCCCCCTTGACCCTTGAGCCAAAATACGCCACTATGGATACCAATGGAGAACTTGAAGCACCTCGTCGCTTTGTTGATCTTTAACACTTTCAGGTCAAATAACCCGTCATATGACTTCCTACTCCCATAGCGCATTCAAATTATCAGGCTTGAAAGTGTTAACAAGGATCAGAGAAACGTATTCTCAGTCATTCCAATGCGGAACGAGGAAAAATGCGAGATCATCCCAAGGTCTATAGTTAGTCAGTTTGCTCGCAAAATAAATGTTAACCTCAGACTCAATGATAAAAAATTTGCTCATGGTCACTTTATGGACATTTGCTGCTTATTTCAAATGGCCATTAAAGTTTTCAGTTTCATGCTGTTGATCTGCCTTGCTCCTGAGTACAATCACGCTGAGGTTGATGCTAACCGTTGAGAAAATTCCTGCGATTTATTCAGCTGCAGTGGCAATTTCTCCCTATTCACACGTGATTTTTATCACGGCAAATTGCTATTCCTGATTTACTAAGAACAGAGAAAATCTTAATATGCGAGATTAGCATCTTCATCTATTTACCGAATTACGATATTCGTAAACTTTTGACCTAATATAACTGCAAACTCGCGTCTTCAGGGTGGCATAAGGAACAATGAGGTTGAAGTGAGAATCACTTCTTGAGGAAGACACGGCACCTTAAGGTTTGTCTTCGCAGTCCATTCCTGCTCCCCCCCCCCCCCCCTCCCATCCCTCAGGTTTCGTTTCCTTGCTTTTCGTGCAAGCTGCCACTCGATCCTTACCGTTTCGTACCAGAGGTTTTTGAGCTTCTAGTGAACAATAGTGAACTGACCGTGACGTTTTCGTCGAGTTCAAAGTACTGAGCAACAGGGAAGGACTCGTACTGGCGGACAAAGCATTCTGCTCTTTCCTCGTATTTCGTCTCCGTCTCATTCGTCCACCAATTCTTAAGGTTCCCATCTCTGTCGAACTGATGGCCTGTATTGCATTCCAACGGGGAAAAATACAACATCTTTCGGTTTCTTTGTTTTCATGCTATGAGATACCTCGCTGCTCGACACATGTGTTTAACATTTGTTTAACATACATTGAAGGATACTCATTTATTTGCCATTTGCCATCACATTCAAATTCTCACCATTCGTGGAGTATCAGTTGGCTTTGTGAATCAAAGTCACCCATTGCTCTAAAAACGCGTAGAATTATTTGGAAGAGAATTGAGTTTTTGAAAAGCTTCAGTAATATCATTCACAAGGCTAATCATTAGGATTTCGTATTTGCAGCTAATAGGGAATGCAAGTCCCGTCTCCAATTTGTCTCGTGCAAGGTTCAGCAAAATGGGCAATTAAGCGATCATAGGTGGTCTCGTATTTTCAAATATTATTCCTATCTTTCCTCTGAATTCCTCTCCGCGATGAGAGCAAGTTGCATATAAGATGAACCAGAAGTAATGGTTCACAAGATTACTTTGAAAGGGATACATACATTACTTGAGAGGGTTTCATACATGTTCGCAAAAAAACTTGGGTTAGGTTGCCAAATTACAAATAAAAATGACTGAAAAACCGCATCAAAATGAATACCTCCCAAATATGCAGTTCATCGTCTTCATGAGCCACTTGGGCAACTGACATGCAAAAACGTCCAATATACGACCATGCACCCGTCTGGATGCTGTGAGACTGGTGATGACAGGACCATTCCCTTCAGCAACACATCCCACATTTTCCAGTGTGTGTGCTACTTTAGCACTACTTGAGCTTTTACAGTCCCAGACCGTTCCTGTTTCGTTAAAAGTTTTGTTCAGATACACGATCGCCTTCTACGTAGGCAATCGCTCCTAAATTTCCTATCGCATTGTGCATTGTTATTGCCACATTTTCTGCTACGGAAAATAACACATCTAACTCTTCTCTCAAGAGGCAGCCTCCGTGTCGCTTTATGAGCGTTCAATGCGTTGCCGAAAAATACGACTCCGTGCTACTTCCAGTTCCTATAGCGCTCCGTTTCTTACACCCCTTTTATTTATTATTATTATTATTATTTTAAATCTCACTGCTTTATTTGGAGTAAGACTGACCTTCTCAGTTGATATTTGGTCTCTCGTGTGTTTTTCCTCAAAATACTCATTCTGCGAGTCGTTGAAGTGCAAATGCACAAATCGCACCATTCGCAACTCCAAATTTACATGTAACATCAGGTTTGGCGCCAGTAAGCGACCGCTTTTTTCACATTCAAAGGAGACAGTTGTCTCCTTTGACGTGAGCAACATACAGTATTTCACCTCTTTCTCATTCTAACTTGAAGAACAACAAAAATGTTCACATTTTTCAATGGTAACTTTCGTTACCTTGAAATGACCCAGTACCATCGCGATGCTCGAATGGATACCTGACATCGATAATTCCATTTTCGCCAACGAGACCGTCCGGAGATGCACCAACGATACAAGAAAGATGCAGCATAAGGCCAACAAGAAAAAGTTTTGGCTTTGAAGCCTTGAAGTCGTTTTGTGTAACAGTCCCCATATGATTGACTCTTTGGCTCAAATCGTCTTCTGCAAGGAGGGCCTTTAAAAAGGAAGGAGGATAGGAACACCAATAGATATATCACGCTCCAAGCTACTTAGGGGTCGCCGGATTTTCGGCGTTGACTCAAAATCTGAAAGAGCTATATTCTCAAAATAAACATGAACATGTCCTATATGAATCGATAAAGTGAGTCCTGGCACGCAAAAAAAGAGAGAATAATTTACGGAACAGCAAAATGATGAGAAGGCTTAAATTTCCCGCTTCCCTCATCGAGCCATGAACATGTGTTTACCCTTCTTGCTGCCCAGCCAATCTCAACGTAGTAAGCCAGGGGTGCACAACATACGGCCTGCGGGCAGTATGCTGCCCGCGAGGCTCTTGCTCTCGGCCCGCCGTGACTGGTGACGTTGTACGTGCTAATATGGCTCCTGCCCTGTCGGCTACAGCTATGGTCAGCCAAACTGCCGCCCACGGTATGAGTAAAAATCGCAAATGGTCCTCACAGTATTTTGATTTGTGACCCCCTGTGGTAAGCACTCTGTCCATTTCTACTCCCTATTCACTTCCACACTAAGAACTATTCCAAATGGCCAGTTAAATGGTAGAATGCGATTGCATCAAGTCGCTTCAATACTGGAATCGCATTTTGTTTTAAGGTGGACCCCGTTGAGTGTGTACGTACAGTACGTTTCCGCCTCGTCTCATCGCTTGTTGCATGATTTTCAGGGAATGTTTTTTTTCCCTCGTGCCCTCTCATACCAAAATGCGTGAACGCATGGAAATAATGAGTGAAGAGTTTTCACCCACCGATATCGTCGAATCCGTGCGTGATCTCGTGTCCGATAACCATTCCAATTGCACCATAGTTCAGCGCCCTAGATATCACAGTAATGAAACATTTATTTCAGTGCAATGCTACTATGATGAAAATGTTTAAGGACATGGCCTCGCAGTCACGGCAGCGTGACCAGACGGTCACCAGCAAGCATTAGAGTTAGATTTGTCTCATGAGACAGACTGACTCACGCAAGGCCATCCCCGAGCATGTAGAAAGGAGGTTGAAGAAACCCCGCTGGGAAAACTGCGCGAGAATTCAAAAAGGATGCAATGCAATAATGATCATTACGAGTAATTTTGCTTAATAACAATAGATGTGTTGTTGCACTCACCTATGGAGTTGAGGGTTGGAGCATAGAAAGCATTCACAACCGAAGGGGTCGTTATCCAGCTACAAAAGTTCAAAAAGAACGGAAGTACCTTAAGTTTCTCAGTGAGATTATGAAAATCATGAACCTACTAGAATGTGCATGCAGCACTCCTGCGCATGACCTCGAAGTAGAATGTTTGAAAGGAAGAAGATGATAAGGAGGTATGAAGGCGTACCGGTGTCTGTCGACGCCCTTTCCCATCCTCTCCAGGTCTTGGATCACATTCTCCGTCAGGAAATTCCGCACATTCTCGTAATGGCGACCATCTCTTACCACCACCTGAAGAGATCGTCATCCTGTGAGACTATCTTGGTACATCTTCAAGTTCTTCATTACCCTGATATCTTTGTGAGGGTGTGCGCGCGTTAACACCGAGTTTGCGAGGACACTACACCTTCAAACTTCAAAAATATTTTTACTGTAACTAAGAAATATTATATACTTGTCATTGGATGAAATACTCCGTAATACCTTAGTTTGGGAAATATTTCATTGAGGAAAAAATTATGGATACAATTATTTAAAATGCATATCTGTCCAGGAGGATCACAGCGAAGTGAATGTTCATTACTCCTTCAACCTAACCACGGAAAGATCGCTTCCAGACATTCTCTTTCAATCTCTCATCTTCCCTCACTTTTAAAAATTCACATCCCACCAATTTTTCGCCTCAACCATGCAAGAGTCCTTTAAACGGACACACCATATCAGATTTGGCTTTGTCGCACTTGCTTTTGAACAATATCTCTCGCAGATAAATTTTGGAGATTTTCTGAAAATCCGATGAGACAACCAGAGAAAGAGCGAGAGAATTCGTTCTCATGGAACTCGCTGGTTCGGCGAGAGAATTGAAAAACATTTAGCAAAAGGCTAGAGACGGCGAAAATTTAGCGAAGACTGAAATGTTAACACAAATAGCACGAAAGGCAAGGTTGAAAGATGAATATTTGACATCTGGGTCTATCCATAGCCTACCAAATGGTTGACTTCTTCAAAAAGACCCATCAAAACGACCTAGCGACCACTCTGCGTAGATTCATCTTTCCCAACTCATGCATTGAATTCCCCCTTCCGCAAAAAGAGATCGCCGATAGGGATCTCTTGTAGGGCCCCATTCGGCTCTTTAAGGGACGAATCATAGCCCGACTCGCCGTTTGGACTGCACATCCGAACGGCAGTCAAGATTCCCGAAGCACACCAGTGCGAGGCGGATCAGAGCGACTCGTTCGGTGATCAGTTTCCATTCGATCACGCTGCCAGCCTAATGACTAAAAACAATTCCCTCTCCCGCCTTGGCACATATACTAGTGCTAATTTCCCGGACGCTGAGAATTGGTGAAGGACACGGAATGGTCACTTGGAAATTTTGAACATGTTGCATTATTTTCATACAAAATTACCAAGCATTATCGACTATAAAATGTGCATTTCCTTCTGAAATAATGGTGTCATTTATTGGGTACAGTAACTCACATAAACTTAGACGAACTTGTTCCGAGTAGGCCACTCCCTATTCCTATATGTTCTTGGACTTTCATTCTAGGACTGTTCCTTGTCGGACAGCCTGTCCAATACATAGAACAGCATTTAGGAAAGTGATAGAAATGTGTGAATATCGTGTGAATCCCATCAGCTATGCAAATTTTGACATCACTATTGAATTCTCATTATATTGCATTTATCCCTTCCTCTTTATTTATTTATTACTTTTTAAAGAATATGTTGACTAATGTTGAAACTTTTAATTATATTTTGCCGTCTCGAAATCACAATCTAAAAACAGCGCAAAACTGAGCGACTCAACTCTGCATCTTTCTGACGTAATGTCTGTTTGCCCCTCCTTCTTTGCCTCTATCTCGATGATCGAAAAAGGAAGTTTTGCAGATAAGCTAGAAAGATGTGGGATCAGGTACTTCTGGATGAGCTCATCTATGAATTGGAGCCAGACTTATAGCAAACATGCATTATCATGGTTCCATAGATAATCACAGTCTTGCTCATTGTTAGAGTAGGTAGTAACCATTTACGGAAATACGTCAATGACTTCGTAGCATTTTTAACATTGTTTTATTTTTATTTTTCCAGCTTGAATGCAGAATGTCAAAACCGTTGGCCGTACGACTTCGAAGTTGAAAGAGTCGGAACGAGGAAAAATTATTCAGAATCGCTGTTCTCGGCTGGTTCTCAAAGTCGAAGGAGCGGAAACCGAATTTTTCTCTTTCCATGTAATTGTATCGCGTACTTCCTGATAATTTGTAGTGCCGCATTTTTCTCTCGTTCCCTCGCTCCACAGGGGGGACGAGGGACAGTCACTCCGAAGTTGTCAGGGGCAGACCTGAAGCCCATTACTGGATTTTTTCCCCCCTTCTCAACAGACAAAAAATAGCAGGATTGTCCCGGGAGTAGAACAAGTTCGTCCTTAGGGACGAGACGCTCCTGTCTCCGAGATAATTCCGGACCGGCTGGCTTTTCTACTTCGCCGCTTTCATTTTTTAACATTCAACATTAAAATTGTGTTTATTCAAAAGAATCTAAAGCACGGTCGAATACGCTATGCAAAGACACAAAAGTCCCTACACTCAGAGAAATCGGTAAATCGAGATGATATACATCTCTCAATTTTTTAATTTCAATTAATTGTTTTCAAGAGAAAAAAACATCGAATGGATTTTCTATTTATATCTCTCCTTCCCGACCGTGCCGAGTGGCCTGAAAGGCGTTCGCAAAACCAAAATGCGTCTATAGCCGAGTCGAGAGGGTGGTTTGAGTGGCTGCGCATCGTCTAGACGCTTGTTAACCTCCGTATTCCACTTCATCGTGCCGAGGAACCCCCCCCCCCTCCTTTCCCCCCATGAACCCTCGGGGCAATGCATTGATAGTCGAAGGATTCACACGCAACCGCCTGAGTGCTTGGCCTCTTCGCCCCATCCCCTTCCCTCCGACCAGTGCGAGTAGCTCGTGCGTCTCGAAGGATTCCCAGGTAACCGCTTACTTCATTCTTCGAGTCCCGTTTCATACGGTGTTTGTATTCCGTTTGGTGCGTGGGTGGTGCACCACGTATCGCCAGTATGTTAAGATCCGACTGTTAACTATAGACAGTTAACAGTCCTGCAAGATTACATGGATTCCTATGGGAGAAAAAGAGTTCCTTCGCTGAAAGGCCCCGTTATCTCTCATAAATTAGGTTTGTCTGACGTTAAAGAACACCAGTATTTGTAGCCTATAATCTTGAATCAATTGGTGCACCCGCAAATATTTTCGGAAAGTCTCTCCTGCCCTTGAGATCGTAGACTCGTCCTGTCCTGTCCCCCTGACTCTTCAGAAAAAAAAAATTCAGCCACTGTGTACGAATTCAATCCGTTTGAAAACTGCGTATTTCCTGTACCCTTTGAAGGTCCGGCCTAGCCCTTCATCACCGTGGATGCCTAATATTATTATATTTCAATTTCATCGATTTTGCTTTAAACTCGGTGCTAGACTCCACCCTCCGTACTGAGTGTTATGCATGTTTTCATTATATTGTTGTAATGATATGCGACTGAAGCAGTGACAGCTGCTTCTTTGAAGAAAATATAAATGCCCCATCGGTGGTGGGCGATAACTGGACATCATGTGGAATGAACATGTGCTCTACGTGTTGGCGGATGAAAAATAATCCCTGACAGATCTTCCGCGGGATATTAAGAACAACTCCAGAGAAGCATGTGGTAGCCTACCGTTACACATTCTTCGCTGAGATGGCTCGAGAAAGTGAGAGGAACAAATCATAGGCCTTTCATGCAACGATTGCGACTCTCGCGAAAAAGTTGTCCTCCGTGTGATGCGTTTTTATCGCATCTAAAAGTTGATGCGATAACCACATCGAAAATTCAATGCGATAACCGTATCCAAAGTTCGATGCGATAAAGACGCATCACATGGAGGACAGATTTTTTCGCGAGAAAAATGCATCGAACTGAGGCACTGAATTTTCTGTGTGCACCTTTCGGGGTTTCACAATTATTAATTCAATCGTGATGATGTAATACCGTGAATATCGTGATATTGCGATGGGACAATCACAAATGACTTTTAAAATCTTTTGCGAGTGCCCTTACTTATTGAAGAACCCTTCCGCCTCACGATGAAGCTTACCCGTCCGTAGTATTCTTCAAGTGCTGTTTCGTTGGGTTCTCCGGCGGACAGGAGCCAATCCGGATAAGCGACCAGATTCATCATGCCATCTACCTTCTCCTTGGCTCGCTCTTTGGTCACATTATCCATCCACGTGTTCTCCTCCAACAACTCCGAGAATGACTCCTTCAAAAACACCACCATCTCCTCTACCTGCGACATCGATTAAGAAACACTTCAAGACAAGTTACGCTGAGAGAGGTTCGGACAGGAAAGGGTTCGATGCAAAGGATTCGGGAGGATAACATAACATAACGGGATGGCATTTTTCCGCCTTTGCCAATTCTGGGGGTTTTATTTCCGGGTGGCTTTTTCCTAAGGGAAAAAGGTTCCTTTTTTCCTACCCGAAAAAAGGGATCCTAAGGTCTGATGGAAAGCAAGTACAATAATGAATAATAATAATAAACTGAGAATGGACATCGAAAAGAATGAGTCAAAGAGGCTCATTTTTTGCCCACGGCCAAAAGATTAAAACTTTGTTGTTAATGGAAGCTCAATGTGGAAATCTCAAGATTTTGTGTACCACGAGTGCAAGTTTTGGTTGCAGAAGGTCTGGCACAACCATGCAGCAGCGTGCCCAGGAAATCCGAATGGGGAGGGTTAACATATGAAAAAGCTGACCCTTTATTTGTGGCCAAATAAAAAAATTTGTGAGAATCGAACCTGTAAAATTGACCCCAAGGGGGGGGAGGGGGGGGGGTTATGACCCCCAAAACTGCAACTGCCACTGCAACCATGCACTTCTATGATTCCAAAAGCCTAGTTTCTCGGTTGGTCTAAAATGTCATTTTTTATCGTCCAAAGCTCAATCTTGATTTGCATCATTAACACGCCATCATGGAGATGTGCCGCAGAAACAAGTAGGAAGTCGCTCATGCGGCGATGGAAACCAAGGAGCAAGAGAGCCAAAATAACCCTCACCGAATGTGAGATAGAAAACAAACCAACGCATTGAATCATAAACCGTGTGAACCACGTATTTGTAGTGAGCATGGCTGTACCGATGTATCGGCAACCACCAGAATCGGCCGCTGGTGTTGCACTCGTAGCGCCATTGGCAGATCTGCAAGCTGCCGATGCCGATGTCCAAAGGAGGAGCAAAACATATGGAAAATACCTAGGTATTAGAGCGAGCGTGTTCACGCAGCTAGGCGCCAGCCTAGTCTCGCTGAAAAGCCACTTCTCCTCTCCCAGACAAAAATATCGATCGGATTATATTTCAGACCAATTCTAGGAACTGGCGGAGAAAATAGCGGTAAAGAACGGAAAATCATTGCACCTCCTTTTATGTTAAGGTCATTCGGGGTAAGTGTAATAATGATTCCATTATAAGCCAAGTCCCCAAGCCATTTCATTCAAAACGCTTAAAATAATAAAATTGCTTCTTTAAAGGTTTAAAATAATCGTGATGACTGTTTTGGCTGAATTGCAACACCCTAGCATTGTTGCCCTTGTGATCAGGCCAACGATCTAACGTTTGACGTGTGCAAAAGTACTTCATGCCATAGATGAGTACTGCCATAGATGAGTTTTGCCATTCATTCAAAAATGAAACTTTGACTTTTTAATCACACTTACCCCAAATGACCTCATGCTTTTGTCGTTAAACACACATAACAGCAGCGATAGGCAACAAGCTGACCGCTGACGGACACGGACAGGAAGGATTAAAAGTGGTCTCTATCGTTTTCAGGAGGCCAAATTATATCTCATAGCTTTCAAATAGGCCTCTCTGAATCAATATGCAATTTCTTCGTAATTATTAATACTTCTCAATTTTCAGACCACAATCGGCTCCGGCACCGGCACCGGCCGTATGAGATGAAAATCTGCCATCGGCCCACCGGCCAAATGTGCCAATCGGTACAGCTCTAGTTATAAGATAGTTTATCACGTGACCATATCAAGTCTCAAAAACCAAGAAAACCAGATTAAACTGATGAATGCATTGTAGTTCGATGGGTGTCTTCCACTTTCGCCCTCGAGACTTAATTGAGAGATAGTTGCTAAATTTTCCCTTTTATCTCATCTCGATAAACGAGGGTGAGGGTGCACAGGGGCGACTTTCCAAATGTTGATTTCGTGACTGATAACCACGTCTAGCTGAACCCTTTAAAGAGGTAGGTAAGGTTAACTCCCAGTTTTGCTTTCGCACCCTATGTAAGATAGATTTTGAAAGTGTCTTAAAGAGGATAGAAACTATAGCCCCTCATAGATTCAGAAATCATTGTTCTTATGAAGAATTTTATGAAGCAGTCAAATGATGATGGTATAAAATACACACATTAGAGGGTCATACACTTAAAAAATATTGCATCTGAACAAACTGTTTCCGAAGGAACAATGGTCTAACCAAATGACACCGCATAATACACGTACAGGGCTGTGTCATAAAAAAAAATCAATTTCGTTTATCCGAAATAGATGAATAGATTCTGGAGACGGTGAATCCGATCCTCCCAGTCCCTGTATTTCTTTTTCTTCCTCATCCTAGCACCCCCAGTCTCCAGTATGACCAGCCGCGATTCCATGAGAGATTCTTCCTTCTAAATCAGTCACGAATTAAAAAAAAAGGCTCTTCTGGGCATATATCAGTATCCGTCTTACACAGGGAGGGATAGTGAAACCAGGAGTTGACCTTGCCTCCTCTTCTTAAAGGTTGAAGCAGATATGGGTATCAGTCATGAAAATCACGTGTCGAAAGTCGTCCCCGTGCACTTTCGCTCCAACCGTGTGCTGGGGCGAAAGTTACAGAGAGATGATAAGAGATGTAGCAGAATGACGCTGGTGTGGAATAAACTGTCGTCTCTCTCGATCCCCGTGGATATTTTCCTAAACGATCAGGGACAGTTCTTTTCTTTCCTTAAATTCGTACTCTTTGACGATGCCTTCTTGTAACTTCTCAACATTATATGGTTTCCTTGCGTAAACCCTCTCCTAACTGAGCTAAATAAGGCTGCAGCAATAACTGAAACCGAATCATCAGCTTGAGCAATAGCGGCAGTCTTTTTAAATTTTCACGATCAGTTCAACGGGAATCCATTGATCGTTGGTGAACCAGAGGGCGAATGTCTATTATTATCACATCTATGCGATCTATCATCTCCAAACACGAAGTTGAATGGGCATTTAACTTTCTGTGCTTAAAAATGCACGTCATTGTGGCTTTGTTTTCTGGGTTTTTGACATTCAATATCGTTACCTGATGCAATGTTCGTACGTATGCATGTCTTACACGGTTGGCAGTGCAATCCACTGCTTTGTTTTTGAGCTGGCTTTTTGTGGATTTCTTTAGGCCACCAATTGCCAGAGCACTGACATCACATGAGCATGGCAATATCCAACTTTGCGGGTCCCTGACTGACAGTACCATCCTAATATTTGATCAGGACTGGGCATATTTTCGGGCGAAAAGTTCCTACATCTGTGACTAAATGATCTTACTGAATCCCTCCAAGAAAATCTTTGAATCACTTTTTCGCAATGAACTGGACGGTGCACGCACACGTGTGCATTGGCATGCAAACACAATTTTTTCCCTGAAAATTCTGAGTGCAGCATAGGAAACAGTTTCCGTCTTGTGTGCGGAAAAGGAAATTCCGCTTCATGGCGGAAACCATGTCTCCTACGTACACACGGAAACATACTCTTCCGAGAAAACTTTGGAATCGATCCCTCAGACTAGAGTAAGTGAGGGAGTTTTCCTCTCATTGTCCTGTAAATTCCAATTCATCGTCGGAATTGGTTTTCCGTTAAAGTAGGTAAGTTTTTTTTTTATCTTCCCATGAGATTTTCCCTCTCGTTCCCGGATTCCTTAATTGCGTTCATTGCTCGAAAACGTCTTCTTTCCACTCGAAATGCTGCAGGAAAAATCTAATTTCATTATCGCTTAGCGACTTGCCCTCATCGATCAGTGAGAAATTGGTACATCCCTATCACAGAAAAGCTGCAAGTATTATTCACTAACGCGATTATTCAGTACCTCTTTCTTGTTTTCGAAAAAAAATGTCGACTCACTCTCACCCCTCTCTCTTCTCAAAGAGAGAGTGTAAGGGGAGGACGATCGAGTCCTACTTTTCTAAATGTACTTGTCCTAGAGGCGTGGGTCGTCGGCACCAAGGAAATGTACAGTAGATGATTTACGTGAAGAAGAGCGTGGATCGTTTTGGAGCGATTCTTTTCTCGACGGGGAGAAGCAGCTGCCATGCTCTTCATTTCCCGTATCCGATAGGGAAGTACACACGGAATAACTTTTCTTCGTGGGAAGCCAAACTCTGTTTCCCGAAGCATCACGATCTCACGATTGTGGAGATTTCGGGAGCGAGTGGGAGTCGTCTACCATTCGGGTCACAAACCGAAGGTGTCGGGTAGCCTCGCTAAGGTGTCGATATGGAAAAGTTCGTATTTTTCGTGGAATATTCGAAACAGCCTTTTCGACGCGGATGAAGAAAAGGATTTTTCGCTTTAAGATCGCATTACGAATATAGGTCCCTTATCTGTAATATTTCAGAAAGAAGAAGAAATATTCCACAAAGAACACCAAGTGGGATTTCCAAGGAAATGCAGGACATTTTCAGAGCATTATGAGAATTCTATGGAAATTTATACGATAAAGGATAGGAAATTTCAGATCTTTTTTTTACAGTGTAGATACTCACGCATCCATGCACACCCACAGATGCATTGCGCACGACGAGAGCATACCCCCATTCTTCCACGTACGCAGGGGTCAAGAGGGTACAAGCCTCACATTTCATGCTGATAGGACGCAGATTCTTAAACAAATGATACATGTACTTTGCATGGATGTGGATCGTTGTCTGTTCTATGCATGTGAAAAATATTTCGGTTAATAAGGTGCAACCCTTCCGTACTGTATATGGAGTGCTTTGATACCATCCACAGTATTTTTCTCATGTGTGCCATCATAAAGCTTGCTTACAGGCACAGCTTTGAAGCAGTGCAAAAACCAAGTGACTCAAGGGAAAGCAATTATGGGAATCGACGTTCGTAGGGAAGATGTCCTTCCAATGTGGGACGTTCGTTTGCTTTCCTTTCGCGGTATTTCATTTCCTGAAAAATTGTGAGCTGAAAATTGACCTTTTTGATTCTCGTCCTCTCATGGAAAGGACCTTGCGGACGTGGAAAGATTCGAGTCGACAGACCTGATGGTTGGAGGAGGGTTCAAGACAGAGGAACGGAAAACGGATTCAGAAGGGTTCAAGATAAACTACTGGGAGCAGACTGGGTAGGTTCATGATGGAAGTACACAACGGAAGCGGTTCGAGACAAAAGGATCCCAAGGGTGGATGAAGATCCCGAGGAGGAGCATGGGAGAATGGGGGAAAGATGGGGAAAGTTCGAGGAGAAAGGGCTGAAGACTGAGGAATAAATGAAAGATTCTTGATGAACTCACAGATTCTTTGGCTTTGGGAGAAAAGTGACGGATGACGTAGGGAGCGGAGACTGCAAACCCCATAAACCAGTTCACCCGAGACACACATTCTTCCCACCTTCACGATTCCAATAGAGAAACAGCCGTCTTATTATGCAGTGACTAAAATTCAATTTCCAAAATACACGAGGCAGAAAGCACTTAGATCACGTCTTTTGAGAATAACTCCAGAACGTGATATACTGTACGAAACGAACTTGTGAAAACAACGCATGCAAATTGGTGATGCATTAATTAAGCAGACTCACTTTTCCTTCGATTCCCTTGGCCTAACGCATAAGAAAGGAAGAAATGGTTCATGTCTACAAGCAAAGATATTGATTAGGAAATAATCAGAGACAAGTGAAATAGCCAGCAGCACTGAAATTTCATTTCATGGGAGGCTAGAATGACGTCAGCAGAAACGAGTCATCCGATTGCTACCTTTCTGCATATACAGGGTGTCCATAAAATGAATACCCATGGACAACTTTTTTACAATTGAGTCTGATAAAGAGAAATTCGGGGGAATAAAACAGTGGCGGGTTAGGCTGACAGTGGTTGTACGAGCTCAAATGATCACATTCAACATCGCCTCCGATAATTATGGGTAACCTCGGCTTTAATTTTATGACTGCTGTTATTATCGCTTTCCAGAAGTCTTTATTGAAG